CCTTATCATTCCAATCATCTTCACCCAGTCCTCTGCTCTTCATCTCCACATTGATATCCTGGATCCATTTTTTCCTAAGCCAAGTTCCAAACCTTAAGAAAGATTCTCTCTTTACTCATTCGTCGTAGATGTCCATTTTAGTATTTTTCATTCATAGAAAAAAAAAATATTGAGCTTTGTGCCGTCATTCTTCTTCTTATTTCCTTATTTTCAACTTGGTCCAGCATGGCTATGTCGCAACATCTTCTCCAAGGCATCACTCTGGTACTAGCAATCTTCCAGTTGTGTTCTGACCTATACGTTATTAATGGTTCTATTATGGCCATAAAAATATTTTAAAACACTTTATCGCTTTTTTTCCTCTGCCAACCTTCCTCATTACATCTTTATTGCCCTTTCAGATCTTCTTTTATAAAAAAAATGTATTTGTACCGGTCTACATGTTTTATTATGTCGGTCTCCAATTGTATGTTCTTTCTCGTTCCTCCAATTACCATATTGGGTCTAATCTTTGTTCATTTCCAAGCCCCATTTCTTGTATTCTTATTCTAGTTTATTTAACATATATCTTATATCCTGTTGGTCGTCTGCAAAAACTATTTGGTCATCTGCGAACAGCATGGTGTGTTTGTGGCTGTCTCCTACCCATATTCCCATCAGATTGCATTTCCTTTTCTAATGTTTTAAGGTTGAGTGGATATAAATCTTGAATATTGTGGAAGAGAGGCAACATCCCTGTTTGATACCTTTTGTAGGAGAGAAAACATCGTTGTGAGTTTTCGTACTTGAACCTCTATCGCATTATCCCTGTAAAACGCTTTCACAGCATGGATGTAAGTTTTGTTGATGCCTGCATCTGTCAGGGTAACCCATAATTTCTTAAGCGGGACCATATCGAACGGTTTTCTCAGATCTATATAATATATGCAATATGTATTTCCCTTCCTTTTGACAGCTTTTTCTCAACTAGGTGAGAACTCGTTTTCGTTTCCAGTTTTGTCTTCTCTTTTTCTGTACTTTTTTCTTCCTGTTTTCTGTATTTTATGTCCATGTGCAGTTTTTATCCAGAGAGTTACTTTACTTTTACTTTCTTTGAAATTACAGCACGGGGTGCACCTTAGCCTGCTTCACGACTTCGCACCATCCAACTCGATCTGCAGTTCTGCCCTTCCAATTTTGCACCTCCAAACATCAAAGAACCCTCTCCAGTTCATCCTTGTAGCGATATCGAGGTCGACCTTCATATCGTGTCTCTGTCATGTTAGACTCGAACATTCTTCTTGGTATATAGCTGGTGATTTGCCATTCTTATGACATGTCCAATCCACCTCAGACGTTGGGCCTTTATGAAGCGTACAATGTTTTCTCACTTCTCATCTTCAATCTCTGGTCCGAATATTCGTCTGATTATTTTTCTTTCAAAAACAAGAAGTTTCTTTGTATCGCTAGCTGTCAGGCTCCATGTTTCTGATCCATATGTGGCTATCACCTGACCATTTTGGACTTCCCTTCCATTCCGTTTAGATCCCCTGCTGGATCTCTCGTCCATTTCTTGTTTTATTTATTTTGTCAGAGAGCATATCGAAAAACCTGTCCTTGGTGTCTATATAAACGTCAATTGAAACATAACCTAAAATTTTTTTTAATCTTTTTATGTTATTTTCGATTTGGGTTGGTAACAAAAATTGGGTTTAGTTGATACGTCAAAATAATTATTTTAATTAACTTATAAAAAGTTATTTCTATTTAAAAAAAGAATATTCTAAATTAAAATTGATTTAGAACAAAAAAATTAAATTGTTAAGGTAAGAATTTATTTTAATTTAAATGAATTATTTCTCTATAAATTCATAAACGTCAATTTAAACATAACCTAAAAAAATTTTTTTTCGTTTTTTATTTGGGTTGGTAATAAAAATTGCATTTAGTTGACACATCAAAATAATTATTTTAATTAACTTATAAAAAGTTATTTCTATTAAAAAAAAGATTATTCTAAATTAAGATTGATTTAGAACAAAAAAACGAAATTGTTAAGGTAAGAATTTATTTGAAATTAACTTAATTATTTCTTTGTAAATTAATAAACGTCATTTAAACATAACCTAAAAAAAAAAAATATTTTTTACATTTTAATTAATAAATTAAGTTTAAAATCTTTAGACGCCCTCAAACCGTTCCAAGTTTATTTGTAGCCCAAGCATTTTTACATGGTCGTCGCGAGAGCGCACCCGGTTTAAGAATAAACAGGCTGACTTCGAACATCAGTCTGGCAAAGAGTCATTTTAACGCCCATCTACATTCATTTTTATCGCTTTATTTAATAACGAAGCGAACAGAACAAAAGATAATTGCTGAAATCGTCCACCAACTACATTCTACATTCATTTCATTATCTTTTATACGTCGCAATTAATTAATCGTTTACTAATCACACAAACATTTCCTTGATAACAACAGACAGCGATGCGTCTGACATTATCTTATTTGTTGTATGATTTGTACCAAACTCAGAGAAAAATCGTTTTGTAGGATATTGTGTAAGCCTGTTCCCCTCTCTCTCTTTTAATCAGTTTCAAATTGGCTTGAATAGTTGGAAAAAATAACGTAAATGGTTTAGTTAGAAGCGCAACTCGATGATAATAACGACCTTGCAGGCCGCAAATAATCATTACAGCACGTTCGGCATCCTTTTTCCTTTTATCGTTGCCGACGAAATGTTCGCTCGACGGAGCCAAATTGTCTGCTGCCGTCGCTGTTGCTGTTGCCTTCGCTTTATGTAATTCTCAGAAATTTATTTTCGTACACTCGACAAATGTCACGTCATTTTTTTTTAACGTGACAGTGACAGATAGATAAGTTGGTAAAATAGATAACGCTTATTCAAGTTTTGTTTAACTTACATTATTATTATTATAAATAATACATTTAATTAACTTTGTATTAAAAATTAATTATTTATTAGTTTTTAGCGCCACCTTTGAGTAATAATTCATTGTATATTGAAAATTAATATTGTTATTCAACAAGAGATGTCGCTAGGTATTATTAATACGTGATGTTTCCTGCAAATTCTTTAATTAATCCTATTGGAAATGAACAAATCATAGAGGTAAGATAATACTTAAATAAAAAAATTATTTGATTATACTATTTTTTTTTAAATAAAAGATGTCGCTAATAAATACTTCAAATAAATTTTACTTCAAATTATTTAATGTTTTAATTTTTACTGTTTTTTTTTATGTAAATATTCGAAGATAAAATGTATATATCGAAGATAAATTGATTAGAATCAAAATTAATTCCATGAAATAACATTTTTTATTTACTTAACGTTCTATTTTCTTAAATGAATTGTGTTTTAAAATAAGAGATGTCGCTAATTAATACATCAAATTTTTTAGTGTTTTAATTTTTACAATAATTACTAAGAATATTGTAATAATTCGAACATAAATTAATTAGAATCAAAATTAATTACGTAAATTTTTGTTTATTTAATTATCGCTTTATTTGTTGAAATTAGTTGCGTTTTGAAATAAGAGATGTCGCTAATAAATACTTCAAATTATTTAGAGTTCTAATTTTTACTATTTTTATTTAATTGTTACAATAATTACTAATAATATCGCAGTAATTCGAAGATAAATTAACTAGAATCAAAATTAATTACATAAAATTCTTTTTTATTTAGTTAACGTTTTATTCGTTAAAATTATTTGCGTTTTGAAATAAGAGATGTCGCTAATAAATACTTCAAATTATTTATAATTTTAATTTTTACTATTTTTATTTAATTATTACAATAATTACTAATAATATCGTAGTAATTCGAAGATAAATAAATTAGAATCAAAATTAATCACATAAAACTCTTTTTTGTTTAGTTAATGTTTTATTCGTTAAAATTAGTTGCGTTTTGAAATAAGAGATGTCGCTAATAAATACTTCAAATTATCTTCAGTAGAAATCCTACAGAAAAAATGAAATTAATTTACGTCAAAAAATTCTTTACAAAAGGTAAACAAACGTTTATAACAAAACTGTAATGAACTAGAGTCACAATTAAAATAAGATAAAGTCGTCGACTGAATGGTTACAAATTAAAACCGCGCTTTATACGCAAGGTTACCTAACCTCAAAGGTTACATTACTGTCAAAGTAAAGTGGGTATTTCAATGAAAAAACGTCGCAAAATTAAAATCACCAGAAAATGGTTTGAAAGTGGAACGGAATTCAAAATCTCTAAACTGGAAAAATATCGGTTAATATCCAAAATTACAAAACAAATCCAATGAGGACACCACAATAAGAAAATCAAGGGATACAAACAAAATTGTGAAATTAGCACACCTAAAAACATGGGCATGGGGCAAGGTTTGGATATTATAAAAAATGTTATACGTTGGCAACTCTGAATTATGAAATTAAAACTTCTATTGTGTTTGTTTATGTCATTCTGCATATTTTTTAAGTGATTAAGTTAAAATTTGATGTGTTTTTTGTTGTTTAACATTTCGTTATTTAAATTTCTTGTGTATTAATTAAATCTGTTCTTATTATAAATCGCGACGCTTTCCAACAACACCTAAAAAACTTTATTAATTCAATTTTATTTCTAGAATGGTACAATAATAGATGCAAGTTGGATGAATTCTTTGAATTTTGGTGTTTATAAATATGTATATACAAAAAAAAACCATTATGGTAGACTCGATTTAAGTAAGTTAAGGATATTTGGAGAGAAAGTTTGGGTTTTGAGATAACAAAAAGAAGAAAAATTGAAATCAAGAGCTTTGGAAATGAATTTGATAGGATATTCTGGACCAAATAGAAGGAGAAGAAACGCAACAACCGAAACCAGGAAGAATATTGAAGAAGCCAAAATACTTAGATGATTATAAAACACAACAGTGGAACTATTTTGAAAAATTCATCAATAAAGCTCCTAAATATATTTAAATTTTATTAAATTTCTTCCTAGAAAAACAATCTCGCCAATTTATGGATTTTATTTATATCAACATATGGTTTAATTAATGCGTGGACTTCCCAAAATGTCACAGAATCAAGTTTTTTCTCCTCGGTTTTGATATAAATGTTGAAAATGTTCATGAAAACATTCAGTATTGTGTTAAACTCGAAAGGATCCACCTAAATCCTAAAAATGAGTAAAACAATTTCAATAATACTTAAATTACGTAAGTTATCGCAAATAATATGTTATTAATTAATTTATATCATTTTTTTAGTTTTATTTTCGTCAATTTGTAACTCACAATACCATAGTGGCTGTGATCTTCCTCCACTACCCCAAAATGGATATCGTGTATTAACTGATAATCAAGATATACCTACATACCTACCATATGCTAATGTACCATCAAAAACATCAATTTCAACTTTCTGTAATCCGGGGTATATACTAACAAATGGTCAAACAGATGGACTTTCATTCTGTTTCAATGGAAGATGGATTGGAGATTCAGTCGATAATATTTGCCAAAGTTAGATTATATATCCGAAATGAGAACAAAGTGTAAATTATTTATTTTAGCACAACAACCTATGTTATCTTATTCGAAATATGTACAGCCTCAAGAAATAGGTCAATTTGAATTTGAATGTGGTGATGACAACTCTCCAAGACAATCCGATTTATTACCTTGGGATGTTTTTTTTACACAAGATGGTTTAACACAATGTTTAGGGAGTTTTATTTCTCCGAAACATATTTTAACTGGTAAAAAAGCTTTATTTATTTACTACAAATCAATTTATTATAATTTATAATTTTTAGTTGCACATTGTTTTGTTGAAGATGAAACTGATGATATAGGTCTGATTCTGAATATTTTTAGAGTTGTTATTAATCCTTTTGAAAATAAAGAAATCAGAGAGGTAAGATAACATTTAAATAAAAAAATTATTTGATTATACTATTATTTTTTTTAGATTGAAGGACTCTTTATTCACGACAATTATCGTGGAGGAAAACAAAATTACATGTTTGACATTGCCATTGCTACTGTACGAGATTTTGGGAATAATTTACAAATTAAACCTGCTTGTTTACTTAATGAACAAAATGGTTTCTTTGAAGACGATGTGGGAGTAACCTATGGAGTCCCAAACTATATCACACGGCCAATAGACTTATTTAACAATATTCCTAAATCATTTTCTGCGGTTCTTCATGATGAAACACGTTGTGAAGATGAATCTCCACAGGAAACTTTTCAAAGGTTTTATTCTCCAGATAAATTCTGTGCAACTTCTTTAGCGAAAAGTATTTCCTTTGTGCTGTGGGTAATAGGATTTTTTTATGAGAAATATTTTCTTGTAGGAATGTGTGGAATTGATGGAAGTGGCCTTTATAAAAGATTTGGCAATGAATACTATTTAGGAGGTATTCTAACTGCTGCACAAGAAAGTCCCACTAAACCACAATGTGATGGTACCATACCTGCGATTTTCATAAATCTATCACGATATGTCAATTGGATACTAGACATTATAAATAACCAATAGAATTCATGAAGAATATTTCAAAAAAGTTAGTTTTTTTTTTGTTAAAATTAGTTGCGTTTTGGAATAAGAGATGTCGCTAATAAATACTTCAAATTATTTAGTGTTTTAATTTTTACTATTTTTCTTTAAATATTACAATAATTATTAAGAATATCGTAATAATTCGAAGATAAATTAATAAATTAGAATCAAAATTAATAAGAAAATAATATTTTTTTATTTAATTATCGTTTTATTTGTTAAAATTAGTTGCGTTTTGAAATAAGAGATGTCGCTAATAAATACTTCAAATTATTTAGTGTTTTAATTTTTACAATTTTTCTTTAAATATTACAATGAAGATGGACACTTCAGTAGAAACCTTAGAAAAATACTCACATTTCAAAATTGTTCTACAAAAAGAATTAAATTAACTTAAGTAGTAGATAAAAGCCGATTCTAGAACCTCCTCTTAGAACGTCAAAAATTCATCACATTTATAAGTAAACTGTAATGAACTAGAGCCACAATTAAAATAAGGTAAAGTCGTCGAATGAATGGGATTAACGAATAGATAATTCAATAGTTGTAGATAAAATAATTTTTTTAATTGAATTTACATTTTATTTGTTAAAATTAGTTGCGTTTCGAAATAAGAGATGTCGCTAATAAATGCTTCAAATTATTTGGTGTTTTAATTTTTACTACTTTTATTTAATTATTAGAATAATTATTAACAATATCGTAATAATTCGAAGATAAATTAATTACATACAGATTAATTACATAAAATAACATTTAGTTAAAGTTTTATTTATTATAATTCGTTGCATTTTGAAATAAGAGATGTCGCTTAAAATATTTCAAATTATTCAGTGTTTTAATTTTTTAAATTTTTATTTAAATATCACTATAAATATTAACAATATTGTAATAATTCGAGGATAAATTAATTAGAATCAAAATTAATTACATAAAATAATTTTTTTATTTAATTAAGGTTTTATTTGTTAAAATTAGTTACGTTTTGAAATAAGAGATGTCGCTAATAAATATTTCAAATTATTTAGTGTTTTAATTTTTACTATTTTTATTTAAATATTACAATAATTGTTAACAATATCGTAATAATTCGAAGATAAATTAATTAGAATCAAAATTAATAACATAAAATAATTTTTTTTATTTAATTAACGTTTTATTTGTTAAAATTAGTTGCGTTTTGAAATAAGAGATGTCGCTAATAAATACTTCAAATTTTTAGTATTTTAATTGTTACTATTCCTATTTAAATATTACAATAATTAATAACAATATTGTAATAATTCAAAGATAAACTAATTAGAATCAAATTTAATTACACAAAATAAAATTTATTTGATTGACGTTTTAATCGTTAAATGTCACGTCGTTTATTTTTATTTGAACGTGACAACCGTGACAGATAGATAAGTTGGTAAAATAGATAATGTTTATTTTACGTTTATTTTATTTTATATTAATATAAACTTTAATTTAATTTATATAATTATTATTATAAACAATATATTTAATTAACTTTGTATTATAAATTATATCTAATTAATTCATTGTATATTGAAAATTAATATTACTATTCAGCAAGAGATGTCGCTAGGTATTATTAATACGTGATGTTTCCTGCAAATTCTTTAAAATTTTATTCTAATTGATTTTAATTTATTATTGATTAATGATATTTATTTTATAATACTCTGTTTACCTCTATAATAAATCATTACAAAAAAGGAGTTTTTATAATGACATTAAAAATATAATACGTTGGCAACTCTGAATTATGAACTTCTGTTGTGTTTGTTTATGTCATTCTGCATATTTAAGTGATTAAGTTAAAATTTGATGTGTTTGTTGTTGTTTAATATTTCGTTATTTAAATTTCTTGTGTATTAATTAAATCTGTTCTTATTATAAATCGCGACGGTTTCCAACAACACCTAAAAAACTTTATTAATTCAATTTTATTTCTAGAATGGTAAAAAATAGATGCAAGTTGGAAGAATTCTTTGGATTTTGGTGTAATTTAAGGACTTATATAAAAAAAACATTATGGTAGACTCGATTTCAGTAAGTTAAAGGTATTTGGAGAAAAACCGTGAGTTTTGAGATTACCAAAAGAAGAAAAATTGAAACCAAGAGCTATGGAAATGAGTGATAGGATATTTTGGAGCTGGCCACCGACTGTGGAATCCAAGAAATAATGAAATAGTAATATTTATACGTATTTAAATTTTATTAAATTTTTCCTAGAAAAACAATCTCGCCATTTATAACAATTTATGGATTTTATTTATACCAACATATCTTAATTAATGCGTGAACTTCCCAAAATATCACAGGATCAAGTTTTTTCTCCCCGTTTTTGGTATAAATATCGAAAATTTTCGTTAAAACATTTAATATTGTGTTGAAATCGAAAGGATCCACCTAAATCCTGAAAATGAGTAAAACAATTTCAATAATACTTAAATTACGTAAGTTATCCCAAATAATATATTATTAATTAATTTACTAATATCATTTTTTTTAGTTTTATTTTCATCAATTTGTAACTCACAATCGTATTCGAAACATCCACAGCGTCGAGAAATTAACTTAGAATGTGGTGTTGTCGACGAGGAGAACTCTTCAAAACAATCCGATTTATTACCTTGGGATGTTTTTTTTACAAAAAATGGTTTAACAGAATGTTTAGGGAGTTTAATTTCTCCAAAACATGTTTTAACTGGTACAAAAGCTCTATTTATTTATTACAAATTAATTTTTTATAATTTCTAATTTTTAGTTGCACATTGTTTTGCTGAAGATGAAACTGACGGTATAGATCTGAATATTTTTAAAGTTGTTATTAATCCTTTTGGAAATAAACAAATCAGAGATGTAAGATAATACTTAAATAAAAAAGATTATTTCATTATATTTTTTTTTAGATTGAAAAAGTCTCTATTCACGAAAATTATCGTCCAGAAAAACAACATTATCTCTCTGACATTGCCATTGCTACTGTACGAAATTTTGGGAATAATTTACAAATTAGACCTGCTTGTTTTGTTGATGATAAAAATGGTTTACTGAAAGGCGATGTGGGAGCAACCTATGGGGTCATAGACTATACAAACATATTCCAAATAGATCTATGGAAGAATATTCCTAAATCATTTTTTGTGGTGGTTCATGATGAAAAAAGTTGTGAAGATCAATCTCCACGGGACACTTTTGAACTACTTCGTTCTCCAGATAAATTCTGTACAACGTCTCAATCGAAAAGTATTTCGTTTCTGCTGTGGGTAATAGGATGTTTTATGAGAAATATTTTGTTGTAGAAATGTGTGGAATTGATGGAAGTGGGTTTTATAAAAGAGTTGGCGATAAATACTATTTAGGAGGTGTTCTAGTTACTGCACAAATAAATCCCACTAAACCAATATGTGATGGTGGAGTACCTACGTTTTTCACAAATATTTCACCATACTTCAGTTGGATAAAAGGCATTATAAGTAATTAATAGAATTCATGAAAAATATTACATAAAAGTTTTATTTGTTAAAATTAGTTGCGTTTTGAAATAAGAGATGTCGCTAATAAATACTTCAAATTTCAAATTAATTTTTACTATTTTTATTTAATTATTACAATAATAATAATAAATATCCTAATAATTCGAAGGTAAATTAATTAGAATCAAAATTAATTACATAAAATAAAAATTTTAAAAATATTACATAAAAGTTTTATTTGTTAAAATTAGTTGCATTTCGAAATAAGAGATGTCGCTAATAAATACTTCAAATTATTTAGTGTTTTAATTTTTACAATTTTTATTTAAATATTACAATAATTATTAACAATATCGTAATAATTCGAAGATAAATTAATTAGAATCAAAATTAATTCCATAAAATAAAATTTTTTATTTAATAAAACTTTATATTTGTTAAAATTAGTTGCATTTCGAAATAAGAGATGTCGCTAATAAATGCTTTAAATTTCAAATTATTTAGTGTTTTAATTTTTACTACTTTTATTTAATTATTACAATAATTATTAACAATATCGTAATAATTCGAAGATAAATTAATTAGAATCAATATTAATTACAAAATAATTTTTTTTTATTTAAATATCGTTTTATTTGTTAAAATTAGTTGCGTTTCGAAATAAGAGATGTCGCTAATAAATGCTTTAAATTTCAAATTATTTAGTGTTTTTATTTTTACTACTTTTATTTAATTGTTACAATAATTATTAACAATATCGTATTAATTCGAAGATAAATTAATTACATATAGATTAATTACATAAAATAACATTATTCATTTAGTTAAAGTTTTATTTATTGTAATTAGTTGCATTTTGAAATAAGAGATGTCGCTAATAAATATTTCAAATTATTCAGTGTTTTAATTTTTAAAATTTTTATTTAAATATCACTATAAATATTAATAATATTGTAATAATTCGAAGATGAATTAATTAGAATCAATATTAATTACATAAAATAATTTTTTTATTTAATTAAGGTTTTATTTGTTAAAATTAGTTACATTTTGAAATAAGAGATGTCGCTAATAAATATTTCAAATTATTTAGTGCTTTAATTTTTACTATTTTTATTTAAATATTACAATAAATATTAACAAAATTGTAATAATTCGAAGATAAATTAATTAGAATTAAAATTATTTACATAAAATAAAATTTTTTATTTTATTAACATTTTAATGTTATAATTAGTTACGTTTTGAAATAAGAGATGTCGCTAATAAATACTTGAAATTATTTATTGTTTTAATTTTTACTATTTTTATTTAAATATTACAATAATTGTTAACAATATCGTAATAATTCGAAGATAAATTAATTAGAATCAAAATTAATTACATAAAATAAAATTTTTTATTTGATTGACCTTTTAATCGTTAAATGTCACATCAGATAAGTTGGAAAAATAGATAACGTTTATTTTATTTAATTTATATTATTATTATAAACAACATATTTAATTAACTTTATATTAAAAATTAATATAAAATTAATATAATAAAATTAATTCTGTGTATTGAAAATTAATATTATTATTCAGCAAGAGATGTCGCTAGGTATTATTAATACGTGATGTTTCCTGCAAATTCTTTAAAATTTTATTATAATTGATTTTTATTTAGTATTGATTAATGATATTTATTTACAAAAAAGGAGTTTTTATAGTGAAATTAAAGATATTATACGTTGGCAACTTTGAATTATGAAATTAAAACTTCTGTTGTGTTTGTTTGTCATTCTGCATATTTAAGTGATTAAGTTAAAATTTGATGTGTTTTTTGTTGTTTACAGTTCGTTATTTAAATTTCTTGTGTATTAATTAAATCTGTTCTTACCATAAATCGTATTTGGAGAAAAACTTTGGGTTTTGAGATTATTTTGAGATTTAAGAAAAATTGAAACCAAAAGCTTTGGAAATGAGATTGATAAGATATTTTAGAGCTGGCTACCGACTGTGGAATCTAAGCAATAATGAAATAGTAATATCTATACATATTTAAATTTGATTAAATTTTTCCTAGAAAAACAATCTCGCCATTTATAACAATTTATGGATTTTATTTATAGCAACATATCTTTTAATTAATGCGTGGACTTCCCAAAATGGCACTGAATTAAGTTTTTTTCTCCTCGGTTTTGATATAAATATTGAAAATGTTCGTTAAAATATTTAATATAGTGTTAAAATCGAAAGGATCCACCTAAATCCTGAAAATGAGTCAAACAATTGCAATAATACTTAAATTACGTAAGTTAACCCAAATAATATGTTATTAATTAATTTACTTATATCATTTTTTTTAGTTTTATTTTCATCAATTTGTAACTCACAACAAGACGGTGACTGTGTTCTTCCTCCACAACTCGAAAATGGATATCGTTTTTTAACTAATAATCAGGATTACATACCACATGCTAGTGTTCCATTAGCAACGTCATTTAAAACTAGATGTAATTCGGGGTATGTACTACCAAATGGTCAAACAGATGGAATGTCAATCTGTTTCGATGGAATATGGATTGGAAATTCAATCGATAATATTTGCCAAAGTTACATTATATATCCAAAATAAGAACAAAGTGTAAATTATTTATTTTAGCACAACAACCTATATTATCTTATTCGAAATATCCACAGCCTCAGGAAATAGATCCGTTTAACTTAGAATGTGGTGTTGTCGACGATGAGAACTCTTCAAAACAATCCGTTTTATTACCTTGGGATGTTTTTTTAACAAAAAATGATGTAACAAGATGTTTAGCGAGTTTTATTTCTCCGAAACACGTATTAACTGGTACAAAAGCTTTATTTATTTATTACAAATTAATTTTTTATAATTTATAATTTTTAGTTGCACATTGTTTTTTTCCTCTAGATGAAATTGATGATATAGATCTGAACAGTTTTAAAATTCTTGTTAATCCTTTTGGAAATAAACAATTCAGAGAGGTAAGATAATACTTAAATAAAAAAATTATTTGATTATATTTTTTTTTAGATTGAAAAAGTCTCTATTCACGAAAATTATCGTGGAGAAAAACAAAATTACACCTCTGACATTGCCATTGCTACTCTACGAGATTTTGGGAATAATTTACAAATTAGACCTGTTTGTTTTCTTGATGATCAACATGGTTTACGCAAAGACGATGTGGGAACAATCTATGGGATTCTAGACTTACCCAAAAGAAACTTATCGAACTTTAAATCATTTTCTGCGAATGTTGATGATGAAAAAAATTGTGAAGATCAATCTTCACGGGAGTTTTTTGAAAAATTTTATTCTCCAGATAAATTCTGTACAACTTCTGAAGTGAAAAGTATTTCCTTTGTGCTCTGAGTAATAGGACTTTTTATGAGAAATATTTTGTTGCAGCAATGTGTGGAATTGATGGAAGTGGGTTTTATAAAAGATTTGGCGATAAATACTATTTAGGAGGTATTCTAGTTTCTTCACAAAAAAATCCCACTAAATCAATATGTGATGGTGGAGTATCTACGTTTTTCACAAATATTTCACCATATTTCAATTGGATACAAGACATTATAAGTAATCAATAGAATTCATGAAAAATATTTCAAAAAAGTTAAAGTTCTATTTATTAAAATTAGTTGTATTTTGAAATAAGAGATGTCGCTAATAAATATTTCACATTATTCAGTGCTTCAATTTTTACTGCTTTTATTTAAATATTATAACAATTACTAATTATATCTTAATAATTCGACGATAAATTAATTAGAATCAGAATTAATTCCATAAAATAAAAATTTTTTATTTAGTTGCTTTATTTGTAAAAATTAGTTGCATTTTGAAATAAGAGATGTCGCTAATAAATATGTCAAATTTTACTTCAAATTATTTAATGTTTTAATTTTTACTATTTTTATTTAAATATTACAACAATTATTAACAATATCGTAATAATTCGACGATAAATTGATTAGAATCAAAATTAATAACATTAAATAATTTTTTTATTTAATTAACGTTTTAATTGTTAAAATTAGTTGCATTTCGAAATAAGAGATGTCGCTAATAAATACTTTAAATTTTAAATTATTTAGTGATTTAATTTTCACATTTTTATTTAAACGATATTATTAACAATATCATATTAATTTCAAAATAAATTAATTAGAATCAAAATTCCATAAAATAAAATTCTTTATAAAGTTTTATTTGTAAAAATTAGTTGCGTCTTGAAATAAGAGATGTCGCTAATACTTCAAATCATTTAGTGTTTTAATATTTACTATTTATATTTAATTATTACAATAATTATTAACAATATCGTAATAATTCGAAGATAAATTAATTAGGATCAAAATTAATTCCATAAAATAAAATTTTTTATTTAATAAAACTTTATATTTGTTAAAATTAGTTGTATTTTGAAATAAGAGATGTCGCTAATAAATATTTCACATTATTCAGTGCTTCAATTTTTACTGCTTTTATGTAAATATTATAACAATTACTAATTATATCTTAATAATTCGACGATAAATTAATTAGAATCAAAATTAATAACATTAAATAATTTTTTTATTTAATTAACGTTTTAATTGTTAAAATTAGTTGCATTTCGAAATAAGAGATGTCGCTAATAAATACTTTAAATTTTAAATTATTTAGTGATTTAATTTTCACATTTTTATTTAAACGATATTATTAACAATATCATATTAATTTCAAAATAAATTAATTAGAATCAAAATTCCATAAAATAAAATTCTTTATAAAGTTTTATTTGTAAAAATTAGTTGCGTCTTGAAATAAGAGATGTCGCTAATACTTCAAATCATTTAGTGTTTTAATATTTACTATTTATATTTAAATATTACAATAATTATTAACAATATCGTAATAATTCGAAGATAAATTAATCTGAATCAAAATTAATTCCACAAAACCAAAATAAAATTAATTTAGAACGCGGGATATAAAAAGAGATAGATTATACGATCTCAACAAAATAAACAAAGATAACCACATCCCCACAATCCTAATTTAACGAGAAATCTATTATTGTTGATTTGTTTTTCTTAAGCCGGTTAAAGAACGTCAAAACACATGATAAGCAATATATTTAATCTCTTCTTGTGAGTAACATTGTTGATAAAACCACTCGAATTTATCGTACATAAACCTATTGCGTTTGAATCATCGACAAGGAAACATCTAAAATGTTTCGCTTAACATTTCTCCTTTGTTCTCTTTTAATCGTTGCTAATTGCGCACTTTTAAGGTACGTAATCATAATTAGTTATTGTTTTTAAATCAACATATTTTTATGATTTAGGGTGCCTCTTATCAAAACGAAATCAGCAAGAAGAACACTTCAAGAAGTTGGAACTGAAGTAAAACAAGTTCAATTAAGATATGGGGGGCCCACACCGGAACCTTTATCTAATTATCTCGATGTAAGTACAAGAAAATTTGTTTTAATTAAAATATTGATATTAATAATTGACGTTTAATTTTGACACTTTTAAAGCGCCATCTATTGATTGATAGAAATATTTAATTGAATGAATTTAATTAAATTTTAATTATTAATAATTAATTATTGATTAGGCTCAATATTATGGTCCAATAACGATTGGTACACCACCTCAAAGCTTTAAAGTTGTCTTTGATACTGGTTCATCTAATTTATGGGTACCCTCAAAACAGTGTCATTTCACTAATATAGCTTGTTGTGAGTATTTAATTTATTTTTTTTAATGAGATATATTAATTTTTCTTGTTTTGGAAGTGTTGCATAACAAGTATGACTCGAAGAAATCTAATTCTTATAAAAAAAATGGGACAGAATTCGCCATTCAATACGGATCTGGAAGTTTAAGTGGATTTTTATCCACAGATGTTGTTAATGTAAGATGATATCAATTAAAAATTAAATAGAATTAATTAATGTCTTAATTTAGGTTGGTGGGTTAAATATAAAAGATCAAACTTTCGCCGAAGCAATGAATGAACCTGGTTTAGCTTTTGTAGCTGCGAAATTCGATGGGATTTTAGGCTTAGCCTATGATCGTATTTCTGTTGATGGAGTTCCACCCGTTTTTTATAAAATGATTGAGCAAAAACTAATTGATGATCCAATTTTTTCATTCTATTTAAATAGGTGACACGAAATTTTAACAATTAAGTTTAAAAAATCAAATTTTTTTAATTTAAATTTAGAGATGCCTCTGCTAAAGAAGGTGGTGAAATAATATTTGGTGGTTCTGATCCAAATTATTACACTGGAGATTTTACATATCTCCCAGTTGATCGCCAAGCTTATTGGCAATTTAAAATGGATGGTGTGCAAGTTGGAGAAAAGAAATTTTGCCAAAATAGTTGTGAGGCAATCGCAGATACCGGAACTAGTCTTGTTGCTGGACCTGTTGATGAAATAACAAATATTAACAAAGCAATAGGGGCCACTCCAATTGCAGCTGGGGAATACATGGTCGATTGCAGTTTAATTCCTGATCTTCCAAAGATTACTTTCACTTTACTTGGAAAACCATTCGAGTTGGAAGGAAAAGATTATGTTTTAAGGGTGAGTTAATTAATTAATTTATAAATAATCCTATTTTGATTGGTTAATTTTAAATTTGTAATCACTAATTGCGAAATCGATACAATAATAAACAAATTGATATTGAGGTTATCAATTTTTGATAACTCTGTTAACTAAGGTTAATTAAGATTAAGGATATTTTAAGTTATTATTTATTTATTTCTTAATATATTCATAGAAAATAGCTTCGTAAAAATGCAACTCTAAAAAGAAATCTACTAAAAATTGAACGCATGTGGCGCCATCTGTTGGGGATATTTTGAAATTATTCAGCTAAGAACCGAACCACTAGAATACAGGTTAGATTGGGTTAGAATATAACACGAATGGGAATCTATACTTTTTAAATTAAAAAAATGATACTGGTAATAATTATTATTGCTGTCTCCCATAATTCCCACTATTAGTAACAAAATTATTAGTTTAATTAAATTATTTCAGTATAGACGCTAATGCCTCTCGGTGGGATTATATATAATCAGTCCTATCTAAGATACCTGGGGCGGTTGTTGATTTCATATCATTTTGAAAAAGCTGAAGTTTTTATTGAAAACTAAATACAGTTTGAGACAAATCACTTATGGTTTTTTCTCTTCCTTACAAAGCTAAATTGAGAGTTTGTAAGTGTCAGCGTTGATTGTTGAAGGCAAAATGAAATTTCTTTAATAAATTTGAGGTTCCATTCAAATATTGAATGGATTTTTTTTTGTCTTGTGAAAATATACAACAACTTAACACTAAATAACAGTTAAAACTAGAAGTGACACTAGAATGATCAAATGTGACACTTCGAACGTCAATTGGTATTTGAGATGTCATTTAAATGTCATTTTTGACATTAAAGTCTACTTTTGATACAAAATGATCAAATTTGATAGTTAAAACGTCAATTGGCAGCAAAAATTGAGATTGACATGTCAATTAGAATGTCAAACTGTAAATTTAATCATTAAGATGTCATTAAAATGTGACTTTTGACATTAAAATCTACTTGTACATGCTGAAATACGACAGTTATAATGTCAATTGGTAACAGAAAATAAGGTAAATATGTCATTTAGAATGTCAAATTGTCAATCTTGTCTTTAAATTATCATTTAGATGTTACTTTTGACATTAAAATCTTCGTGTGGGGCAAAATAATCAAATTTGATAGTTAGAACTTCAATTGGTGGCAAAGATTGAGGTTAGAATGCCAAATTGTAAAATTAATCTTTAAGATGTCATTCAAACATCACTTTTGATATTAAAATCTACTTCTGATGCAAAATGATCAAATTTGACAGTTAGAACGTCAATTGGTAGCAACAATTAATGTTATTTAGAATGTATGAAAATTGTAAATGAACGTAGCAATGATGATTTGACATTTAAACGTCATTAAAATTTAACGTTTATCAAATTACCTAAAACGTCAAATTTGACATTTAAACGTCATGTTGAACTCGGAAAATTATGCTAAACCCGAATGTTTTTATTTCTAGGTCTAGTGTTACTTCTAGATTTAACTGTTATTCAGTGTTAAATTGTTGTATATTTTCAACAACATTTTTATCTTATTATTATTTTATTTGTTAAAAATTTGTTTTCTTTTAGGTTAGCCAATTTGGAAAAACAATTTGTCTTTCGGGATTTATGGGAATCGATATCCCACCACCAAATGGGCCATTATGGATCCTTGGCGATGTTTTCATCGGAAAATTTTACACCGAATTCGATTTAGGAAATAATAGAGTGGGTTTTGCTACTGCTGTTTAAACATATAATTAACCAAACAATTTGAGATGTTTAGAAATTTATAATTTTTGTGTTCCTTTTTATTAGTTACCATGACTGTTACTCTCGAATTATCTTTAAATTTAAGGAAAATTAATAAAATCAAAAACTAATACTTTATTTCTTTATTTCCCCTAAAAAAAACCTATAGTTCATTTTCTTTCTATAATACCTGCCAAATTGTTGTAAAGTTGGCAAAATTAACAGGGAGTTTTGTTTTATCATGTTTTGAAATAAATATGTCACACTGACGTTTCAGCTTTCGTTATTCAAAAAGAAAAGGTGCATAAAAAAATGTTGTGGGGTGTTTATTTGCCATTTATTTACCTAGAAAAGGTGTTTTGTTCTATTTAATTACCTTGTAGCACGTTTTTACAACAAATATGTACTTCGTTAAAATTGTATTTATCTAAAAATTTATTAGTATTTTAACCTCAACTATTTAGTTACTGAAAATGTTACTAAAAATCAGGAAAACAACATAAATTTTATAAGGGTCCTAGATAATACCAACAGAAACCCTAAAAAATTTACATTGACAAGTATTATAGAAAAAAAACGAACTATATGTGTATTTGAAAAAAATACACTTAAATGACATTCCCTCTTAATGACGAGAAATTATAAAAAATTTAATAAAAATATAATTACCAGTATTCTTTTTTGTAATATTTTCGAACAAACGCATTGTTAAAAAAAAATTTTGAAAATTTATATATCCATTTGCGCTTTTAAAATTCCCGCGTTTCCACCTTTGCTTCCCTTAAATGCGAGAAAGAGATGAACGTCATTTAGGTTGTATTGAAAAGAGATAGAGTATTTATAGGTTATATTCATGGATGTAATAGAGACTCTATACATCCATGGTTCTGTTTTAAAACTGTCACCACAACAACTGACAATTTAACTTGTTCAGACGTCACAGAAAGGTCGCGAAATTATTTCGTTCGGAAATTAATATAATAAAATAAAATTAATTCTAGTGTTAGTTCTAGTTTTACATTAGTACTATGTAGAACTAACACTATACCTAGAACTAGAATCATTTGGGTTTAGCCGTCTTTAGAGACGTGCGGCTAAACCCAAATAATTCTAGTTCTAGGTATTGTGGTGGCATATAGTAACTTTATTATAATTAATTAATTCAAATAAATAAGAAACAAGAAAAAAAAATTTAAATCAAAATTATAACTTAGCTTAATCTTGTAGATTATTGAAGTTCTCGGATAAGAAAACTGGGACTCTTCAAAAGGAAACGATAACAATGATTCTTGATTGGATTGGAATTATTCTTCGAAATGGATTAATTGGATCAGGAACCAGTTAATTTTCTTATTTATTATTAAAGGCGAATAATTTTAATTCAAATAATCTTCTTACTTAACTTATTAAATAATAAGTTTACTGTTTTTGAGGTTATGTCACAATGGTGATTGACAAGTTAGTTTTGGTTTTTGAAATGATCGCAGACAAAATTAGCGTGCGCTCCTCATCACGTTCGAAATCACACTAAAATCTACAAATTTCGTTTGTTTATTACTAGACCGTTTTAAATAACGTTTTCTGATTGGTTAAATTCATCAACTTGAAATTCGCAATTTAAATTTCTCCGGTATTACCAACTTTGAAATGTCAAATGTCACCAATTAAATTTTATCAAAAATTATTAAAATTTCTATTTTAACAAGATTTATGTATGAAATTTTGTAATTTGGTTGCATTAACTTTGTTTGTGCTGATTCCGGAACATTTTCTTTTAGATTTCAACGTTCAGCTTCAAAAATATATTCAAATATTTAATCTACTTAATTTTCGTCCAATTCTTCATCAAAACTCCCATATGATGGATGGTTTTCGTTCTTGACATGATAAGATTATCGTTTTTGATCGTTTCAACCTAACAAACATGAATTACAATAAGAAATTAATGAAAAATGAAATTTGAGGTTATGTCACTGTCAAAATTTTACAAAATTACTTCGTATCGACTTTACGTGGATTAAATACAATAAAAAACGTAAACGGCCAACAATACGTAATGAATTCTATCATATTTACAACATTTTATTAATACAAAAACAAATTTCTATAATTATTATTCTTAACTTCACCTACGATTAATACGATTATGTAAAATTTCAAAGAAAAATAATGAATGACTTGGTTTGGTTATATTCGTTATATTATTATATTTTTATTACTCTCCTTACTCTCGAATTATCTTAAAATTTAAGGAAAATCAATAAAATCAAAAACTAATACTTTAATATTATATTTTCACTAAAAAATCTATGTGTATTTGAAAAGAATACACTTAAACGACATTCCCTCTTAATGAAGAGAAATTAATTCCTTAAAAACAAATAATACTTTTTAATCAGGCAAATAATAATCCGATTTTTTGAAATTTTCGAATTAATTAAAAAACTGTGCTCGCTCGATGTGATCTAGCATAAAAGATATCCAGCTTTTTATTTGGGACTTGAATAGGACGCACGTTATTATCAATATTGTATTGCCCACAAGGAGTTGAATGCATATTCCTAAAATTTTGGACTTGCTCCCTCGAAACGTGAATAGGCTTTGGATAAATAATCCATGTGACACTCTCGTTATATGGCTGAGTTGTTAAAGAACCTTGGTATGTATAATAACCTTTACATTGAGCCGCATCTTTAATCCAAGTAAAACAATCTAAAAATAAAGAGATTAAAAAACGAAAATTTATATAAAAAAAAATTAACTTACCTGCTTTAACTTGAGTAGACGCCTCAATTTTAACGATATCTTTAACCGCTTCACTTAATTTTTTAAAACAAGCATTTTCAAAATCATCAGTTGCTTGGAGGAAAAAAGCAACAACCGCTAAACCATCGTGTTGCGAAACCGCATCTTTAAACGAACCATATTTGCTGTTATAATGCACTGCGTGAGCTTCCATTGAATATCTAAATCAAAAATTTTAATTAAATAAAAATAATAATTAATTAACTTATTAACTTACGCTTTTCCCTCGAAAATATGTTCGCAACCGCTATGATCATCGTCACTCCAATGAAAGTGGAGTTGTTCAAAAACAAACTTATCATTGTGAAGGGGCCCGCCGATTAATTGAGGAAGTGCTCGATTTTGAAACGTAATAGTAGCTGCAAATAAAAAAATAATAAATAAAAAAAGGTTTTTAAATGTAAATAAAAAAAAAAATGTTTCACGTGATCGTATTTACAAGGTGACAATAAAAAATAATGAGGAAGTCGACAATGAGGAACGAAAACGTTTTTTAAACGCTCCGATTATAATAGATCATAATAGATTTGAAGTTGTAATCACTTAAATTAAGGAAGTTTTGAATTAAGAGTTTGAAATTATTTTTAATTTAAAACATTTTAATAATACAAAATAATATCTGTCAAATTAGTGACAGTTGACACATTTAACAGGGAATTTTTTTATTTCTATTATTTTTTTAACCTCACTATTTAGTCACTAAAAATGTTACTAGAAATCAGAACAACAACATAAATTTTAAAAGAATTTAAGTGATACCAACAGAAACCCTAAAAATTTGACTTTGACGTGAATTATATTTTACGAATTAAAATATATTATTAAAAATGAAGCCTTATTCATTAAACTTCAAATTTATTAACAATTTGATTAAGTTTAATCGATTGCACTCGAATTATTTGAATATTAATGGATTGATATTAAATTTCCCGATAAATAATGGAAGTATTGATATTGTCTTGACATTGTTTTGAAGTTGAAGTTTGATTTGCGGTTAGATAGTTTAAAGCTCTTGAGTTGAATTTAAATTTAATGTTAATAATTGAAGTATTAACGAAGTTTTATTGATTTAGTGTTAAACTTTATAATATAAATGAAAGTTTTTATAAAATTAATCGATTGGGATTGAAGTTTTCGGTTAAAAGCTAAATTTGCGTTACAAAATTAAAGTTTTTATGAAGTTTAATGAATTCGGGTTGAAGTTGAATCTTAATTTTTAGTAAAAATTAAAAATTTGTTGCAATTTTTTAGGATAAAATTAAATTTGAGGTTAATAACTGAAGTATTAATGAAGTTTTATTGATTTGGTGCTAAACTTTATAATAAAAATGAAAGTTTTTTTATAAAATTAATCGATTGGGATTGAAGTTTTCGGTTAAAAGCTAAATTTGCGTTACAAAATTAAAGTTTTTATGAAGTTTAATGAATTCGGGTTGAAGTTGAATCTAAATTTTTAGTAAAAATTAAAAATTTGTTGCAATTTTTTGGGTTGAATTTAAATTTGAGGTTAATAACTAAAGTATTAATGAAGTTTATTGATTTGGTGCTAAACTTTATTATAAAAATGAAAGTTTTTATAAAATCTAATCGATTGGGATTGAAGTTTTCGCTTTAAAACTAAATTTGCGTTACAAAATTAAAGTTTTTATGAAGTTTAATGAATTCGGGTTGAAGTTGAATCTAAATTTTTAGTAAAAATTAAAAATTTGTTGCAATTTTTTGGGTTGAATTCAAATTTGAGGTTAATAACTAAAGTATTAATGAAGTTTATTGATTTGGTGCTAAACTTTATTATAAAAATGAAAGTTTTTATAAAATCTAACCGATTGGGATTGATTTCTAACGCAAAATGAGTTAAATACATTTTTTTTTAATGAAACGTCAAAAATGTCACTTGAAAAAGACCCATAGGAGGTAACGCCATCTAGTGACATTTACAAACACTAATTAATCTGTTTTTTAATAACTTTTTATTGAATTTTTGTTATATTAACGCTTAATTAAATCGAAAATCATGTATTTTTTTAAATATAATCATAATTTTTATTAAATCTTTATGAATTATTTTAAATTTATTAAATTTATTTTGTCACCCCCATCTCGTGGTTAATCCCCACATTAATCATATTTTTGACATTTAGAAAAATTTCGTACAAAAATTATTAATATTTACAAAAAAAAAAGGTGCGATTCAACCAAAAGAAACTTTTAAAGACATTTTTAAACATCTTAACCGTTTGCTTAAACCGATTTTAGACGCCACGAAACGATTTTTATCTCGGAATAAAGTTTCAGACATAACCTAACTTTTTTATGTCAATTTAAAAATATTTGTAAGTTGATTCATTTTACATAAAATTTAATATAATCACTATTTGAATCATTTTAGATTATTAACGCGTCAACGACGCACGGCATAACCTAAAATTTCTAATTTTTGGACGAGATAAATAGTCCTTGAAAAAGTTGGACACAATAACAACTAGGTAATTCGTTACAAAAATTGAGTGTACTTACTCCGCTTTAAAAAAGGGATATTTTAACTTCATTTAATGCGAAAATTGTTTAATATAATCGCTTTAATTATTACAAAACTTTCTTTTGATGCAACAAGTGACTTTTTTAAAGATGTCGGTGCTTATTGACAAATCACCATGGTAACGGCAGGGTTGAAAACTTTTAAACAAAAAGTTATTTTAGTTAAATTTGAGGTTAATAACTGAAGTATTAATGAAGTTTTTTTGATTTGGAGATAAACTTTTTAATAAAAATGACAGTTTTAATAAAATCTAACAAATTACTAAAAAATTGATAATTTAGAAGTTTTTTAAGTTAATTTATTCTTTATAATGCAATTATAAAAAAAATCAAATAGGAAGTGTATTAATAATTAATAAACATTAAATCCGTGAAGGTTTTACCATCTCAAAACACCTTTTGAATAAATTAAACCGATTGTTCACGGCGCTCAAGGTCAAAACATTAACCGCGATTCATTTCAATCGGTTATCAAGAAAACCGAAAAAATCCACGTAATTTTAGCTTCTTGAGATTTCACGGAAATATTTTTTTTTTGGGTTAAATTCTATGATATAAAAAATAGTTGGATATAAATTCAGATAAGCAATTATGGGGCAATAAATTACCGCAGGTAAGAAAGTTTAAATAACATCAACAAAAGTTGATGACGAAGTTTTACGGTTAAAAGCACATGATTGTGACTGTTACAGTTAAAAATTCCTTTAAAAATGATAATTATGTTAATGACCTTTCTCGTTTTGTTACAAATTACGAAACATTTCGGGTTAATATCCGATTTAAACACCAAAATAATTTACATATATTGCGAAATGTCATTGTTTAACAAATTTGCATTGTTGACCTATTTCATTTTCAAACTTCTAATTTATAATATCTATTTACGATTTATATTAGATGAGAAAATATTGATACTTTAAGCCTTAAACCAACAAATAAAGTATTAAAGTAAACTCACCTGTATAGCCATTATTAACAATCATAGCTTCCCCTTCATTATCCCAATGCCCGTGGAACAACAACGGATCAAAATCATCGTATTCGTTGGTCTCATCGTGTTTTAACTCGATGGGGGATTGAACGCCATGCAATCTCCATTCTTCGACGGTAATCGTCGCATCTGGATCTACATTTAAGAAAAGATCGTGAAAATTACACGAAAAACACGATCTTAAATCAGATTTCATGCTGAGTAAACTAAAATCTGTTTTACGTTGATTTTATTATATATTGTTACTTCTTTATCGAAAAATCTTGATTTTTTTGATTGATACTACAAAATGAGGCGAAATCTTGATTGATTCGAACTGGATTAGAAGTAAAAAAAATTAATAAATTGAGTAAGAAAGAGATAGCCATCGATTAATGAAGTACATTAACTGATTGTATCGTTAAGTTTGTTGGTTCGTGTTCATTAGGAAAAGGAAAATTCCCTCAATCATTATGTTTTTTTAAGAAATATCTTAATGGTGAGGTGATAAAAACGTTTTAACCCATTAATGTGGCGTAGATAAAAATCTGTGATGGATATCTTATTAATTTTTTCAAGATTTTATAGATAATGATGTTGTTTTAGTGACGTTATTGCACAATTCTGTTTTATTTAATGAACTTTGCTTTTTGAACAACAAAAATTAGTCATTCCATGCAATCTAATTCCAAATAATCAATTGCGGTTTCAAAATTCCCCTCAATAAATAAAACATTGATTTAATAACTTTTCCAAGAATTTTTTTGAACTCACCTTGCGAATAACTTGGTCTCTTTTGGACTGGAGCACAAATACATTCATTTTTTGTAATAGTACCTGCAACATCATCGGTTTGAGTCATTTTTATAACAATTTTATCAAAATGATTTAAACAAAAAAAGATATTATTTGTTAAAAATGTTTTTTTTAAAGAACTCGCGATAAAAACGAGAACGCAACTCAAACTCGGTTGTTGTTGAAGCAGAGTTTGCTTGCTTTTAAAACCTGCTGGAGAAGTACAAACGCATGCGCGCTAAATCGAGGATCTCTCTTCCTCTTTGCTGAGTAATTTTCCCCAAGTACAGCAACACGTCGATTTCAAGTCTATGTTTTTTTCGAGTTGTTTAGATTTAGGTCACGTGAGATCACGCCAGAAATAAAATTACGCACCACAACTTACTTTTTATGTATAAAGGCGCGTTTAATAGTTCCCAAAACCACGATATCAAAACCAAACAGACGAATAAGATCTTTTCGATAACTAAAACAATAAAATTATATATAATTAAACAATAAAAGCATAAAAATTATTTTTTTTTACTCTCATCCTTGTGCGGGTAAATAAGAGCTTCCCAAATCCATAATAACACCACCAAACCGAAGAGGAAAATTTGCCAAATTCCGATTAATACGACCGAAATTAATGGGATTAATTGGGTCAAAACTAAAAGGAAAAAGTTTGAGGTTATGTCAAAAAAATTTAAATAATCTTGATTATTTCATAAATTTTTGATCATAAATTATAAATAAATTACCTTGTTTATAATGATTAATTACCCATTTATAAAGAAAATCATCAAAAAGTAATCAACAATTTAGACATTAACAATAAAAACTTTGTTATGACCGAAATTTTCTTCATCACCATGGTAACGCGGGTTGGTGAACTTTAAAAAAATTAAATTACCACTTACGTTTGTGTTTTTTAAACCACTATTTTTATTGTAAGTTGTTCAAACCTGTTATTACATCGAAATTTTCCAGGAATAATTGTTTTACATCATTAATTAATGATTCTTAACTTTAAATAAAATAATTATTGTTTGTATCAAATTTGAGGTTTCAATGTCATCTGTCAAAATTAAATGTCAATTTGATATTCAAATTATTTTTTTAATTTTAAATCTAAAATGTAATATGATTTTACTATTAAGGATGAATTAATTAGAAATATATTTTTTGCTGTACGAATTTAGCACATTTGTAGAAATAGATTGTTAATATTGGCATAAACTCCATTAAATTGATATAGAGAGCAGAATAACGAGCATTTTATCATTTGTCGATGATTCATTGCAGTATGCTACATAGGAATTCGATTTTATCAACTTCCGACAAGTTGTTTGCTTGATACAAAGATTAAAATATAACTAATTCCTGCTTGCAGGAATTAACCTGCAACAACAGCAAGATGAAGATTTTGCGCCATCTAGTGGCAAGCAGAAAAATTAATTCCGTCTGTCATGTTGACAATTAGAACAAAAATTAATTATTTAACTTTAAAAAAAGCTAATATTGATGAGTATTTATCTTTGATTTTTTTAAACTTTATACTCCAACAGAAAGTTTTAGGTTGAAACAAATTCCACAAAGTTTGACAACTTTTTAGCATCCACATTGGGGGTTATTCAAGCTGATATACACCAAAAGATGTAATGAGGTCAAAATTCGAGTGAATTGTTGAATATTAAACGAGATAAACATGTTTTCCACTCATAATTGGCTCATAAATGTTATTATGTGCCAAATACTTGGTTCTGGAAATAAATTGATTTTACATACGTCTGATCAAGAAATGGTTTATGCAGTCGTTTAAAAATATTTGTCTTATTAATTTTATTGTATTGTAGGTATATAAGACAATAACAGCAATGTTAATGGGATTAATTGGGTCAAAACTAAAAAGAAAAAGTTTGAGGTTATGCCAAAAAAAATTAAAATAACCTTGATTATTTCAATGAATCGCCCAATTTTAAGCATAAATTATAAATAAATTACCTTGTTTATAATAATTAGTAACTCATTTATAAAGAAAATCATCAAAAAGTAATCAATTTAGATATTAACCACAAAAAGTATGTTTTAAACGAGATTTTCTTCATCACCATGGCAACGCGGGTTGGTTAACATTAAAAAAATTAAATCACAACTTACATTTGTGTTTTTTAAATTATTTTTAATGTGAGTTGTAACAAACGTGTTATTACATCGAAATTTGGCAGGAATAATTGTTTTACATCATTAATTGATGATTTTTAACTTTAAATTTTAATTAAAATAATGTTTGTGTCAAATTTGACGCTTCAATGTCAACTGTCAAAATGAAATGTTAATTTGGTATTCAAATTATTTTTTGAATTTTAAATCTAAAATGTAATTTTCTTATAAATATGATTTTATTATTAAGGATGAATTAATTAGAAATGTACTTTTTGGTGTACGAATTTAGCTCATTTGTAGAAATACATTATTAATAATGGTGTTTAAGTAATAACATAATAAACTCCATTAAATTGATATAAAGAACAGAATAAAGAGCATTTTATCATATGTACATGACTCATTGCAGTATGTTACATAGGAATTAGATTTCATCAAGTTCCGACAACTTGTTTTCTTTGATACAACGATTAAAATGTAACTAATTCCTGCCTTAGCTAAAATTTAAAAAGATTTATTGTTAAAATGAACTAACCTTCTATATCAAATTCATATTATTACAGATAAACCACCAGTTATTATTTCTTTAATGATTTTAATGAAACCAGATTTAGAAAACGGTTATGATGAAGATTTAGTTATCAAGTAACCCTAAAAACCAATATAACTATAAAATAAATGTAATTGTAACAAATTCCTTACAAACTGCGTTGTTAAGTTACTAATAAATAATAAATAAACTAATAAAGGTTAATATCTCCACATAAACATAACCAAACTTAAAAAGAGATTTGACAGCAAGATGAAGATTTCTACATTTTGCGCCATCTAGTGGTAAGCAGAAAAATTAATACACCGTCTGTCATGTTGACATTTAGAACAAAAATTAATTATTTAACTTTAAAATAAATATAATGAGAAAACAAGGTAATATTAGTGATTATTTAAATTTAACTTTTTAAACTTTACATTCTAACTGAAAATTTTAGGTTTAAACAAGTTCCACAAAGTTTGAAGCATCCACATTGGGGGTTATTCGAGTTGATATACACCAAAAGATGTAATAAGGTGAAAATTCGAGTAAATTGTTGGATATTAAACGAGATAAACATGTTTTGACTCATAAATGTTATTGATTATGTGCCAAATACTTGGTTCTGGAAATAATTTGAAAAATAATTTAATTCAAAAAATGGTTTATTTAAAAGTATTTGTTTATTACTTTATTAATTTTATTGTATTGTAGGTATATTAAGACAATAACAGCAAAGTTAATGTTGATCCAATTTGTTGGGGACTGAAAAAATGTTGTTTGATAAGAAAGTATTGTGTATTGTAACTAAGAATTTGTTATCAAGGCAAAATTAAAATAGAATTTGTTAAGATATTACAAAATTTCAAGCTAAATGATTCACCCTGTATATAAAACAATTAATGTTTCAGTTTTAATTGTTGAATTATGATGTATTTGTATGACAAAAACCTTGTTGCAGTAAATAACTTTTCCAAGTAATTAATTTGACACAATAGAGAGATTATTTTGAGATGGATCAACTTAATTTAATTAACAAACACCTTTCAATGCGGAGAAATTTAAAAAAATAACCTTTAAATTAAAACCTTGAAACCTTATTGTTGAGTTTATAATTAATAGAAGGTGTAATAAATAAAATTACGAATTTAAGCCAAGTGGATCTTGCATAATAAAATTTCTCGTTGGCGTACTTGGACTATTGCCTACATTTTACTCATTTTATTTACTTTTATCATGAAAATAACACAAGTGTTATGTTTCAACTTTAATACGACTAAATAAAGTGAGAATGGAACGAAATTGTAAACAAGAAGTGAACAATTTAACACATTTTAGCTTAATCTAAAGTTATCTTTAAAAATCTACTTCGAAGATAATTTTTCGCTAAAATTACGCCGTTAGTCATAAACGAGTTAAAGTCACGAGACTTCGAGATCTTTGAGACAATGATTTAATTAAATGCTCAAATAATTTTATGACTTAATAAATATTTTTTGAAATTTTCATGAATAAAGTGATAACAAATTTATTTATTTATTTAATTTGATAAAGATGAAATCGTACGAGAAGATGTTAATTTAATATACTTACGAAATCGTTTCAAAAACACCGAAATTTCGACTGGTTCGTATGCAATCAAATGGTTCCTTATTTTTAACGATCTTTCAACCTTCCCAAATTCTTTTAAATGACTCATTGCGTCATTTATTTCCTCGATTTTCTTTTTAACGGCGATTTCTTCCAAAGTTCGTCTCGTTTTCGTTTCAAAAACATCGTCGTCGTTTTCGTCGTATTGGAATCCGTTTAAATCGACGAATTCTTGGTTAATTAATCGTAGGGGTTCGGATGTGGTCATTTTCTTTTTGTAAAATTTAATTTACTAAAGAAATAATCTAAAAATTAAATTTAATCGAGCTGTATAATTTGATAAAAAATGTATTTGGTAAGTATCAATAAGGCTTTAGGAGAGGCAAAGGAGTTTATCAAGAAATGGCCACGGACGTTGAATCCAAACTCACCAATTTGTTGAAAAAAAGTAAAATTGCATTGCAGATTGATGAATCAACTGTGATTGATTACACAGCAATGTTACTAGCTTTTGTGAGGTTTATCAATGAACAAAAGGAAATTAGCGAGGAAATGCTGTTTGCAAGAACTTGGATGACTGATACGAAATGATCGTTGATTTTTAAAACGGTGCTAGATTTTGAGGAAAAAGATTTTTCCTAACACACGAGCACTTGCTCAATAAACGGTGCTTCTTCAACGTCAGGTCATCATGCTGGGTTTTTGGCCCACCTTAAGAAAGAAGTGCCAGAGGTCATTCATTGTGACATTCATCGTCAATACTTAGAGTATCCTCTTGTTAATGCAAAAAACCGTTTTCATCGTCAATTTTCATCGATAACTTTCAAAATTCGCTATAAAATTCATTTCTTGAAGGATCCTTGAGGAATTATCACCACTTATTAATTAAAGTATCCTCTTTTTAATGCAACAAGCCGTTTTGAAAAATCACTTTTAGTTGTTGAGAAAAAAATTTTTTAAATGATCGATATTTTCGAATTTTGTAATTTTTGCCGATTAAGTTTTAAAAATTCGTATAAAATTCAGTTCTTGGAATATGAGTATGAAAATTTCCCAAAGTGTTAATAAGAGTGTCCTCTTTCCAATGAACCAACCCGTTTTGAAATATAACCTTTAGTTTTTGAGAAAACAATATTTGAAGTTTTCATAAAATTTTCGATGTTGCAATTTTCATCGATAACTTTCAAAATTCGCTATAAAATTAATTTCTTAAAGGATCCTTGTGGAAATATCACCAATTATTAATTAAAGTATCCTCTTTTTAATGCAAAAAGCCATTTTAAAAAATCACTTTTAGTTGTTGAGAAAAAATTTTTTTAAATGATCGATATTTTCGAATTTTGCAATTTTTGCCGATTAAGTTTTAAAAATTCGAATAAAATCAATTTCTTGGAATATGAGTATGAAAATTTCCCAAAGTGTTAATAAAAGTGTCCTCTTTCGAATGAACCAACCCGTTTTAAAAAATAACTTTTCGTTTTTGAGAAAATAATATTTGAAGTTTTGATAAAATTTTCGATGATGCAATTTTTATCGATAATCTTCAAAATTCGCTATAAAATTAATTTCTTGAAGGATCCATGTGGAAATATCACCAATTATTGATTAAAGTATCATCTTTTTAATGCAAAAAGCCGTTTTGAAAAATCACTTTTAGTTCTTGACAAATAAATTTTTTTAATGATCGTAATTCTTTCGAATTTTGCAATTTTCGCCGATTAAGTTTTAAAAATTCGTATAAAATCCAGTTCTTGGAATATGAGTATGAAACTTTCACAATGTGCTAATAAAAGTGTCCTCTTTCCAATGAACCAACCCGTTTTGAAAAATAGCTTTTAGTTTTTGAGAAAGCAATATATGAAGTTTTGATGTTGGAATTTTCATCGATAATATTCAAAATTCGCTATAAAATTAATTTCTTGAATTATCCTTGGGGAAATATCACCAATTACTAATTAAAATCTCTATATCTTATCAGCTTTCTTATTAATTTCATTTTTATTCAAATATCGCAATAATTGCCACACTATCCGTTCCATCACTAGAATTAATTAATTTCTCACACCAAATATATCTCAAAATCGCAATTCCATGCAGCGTAGAAGCAATTAATAAGGCAAAGTAATCTGTTCTGGTTACCCCGCTGCCAATTAATTGTCGCATCCTTCTAATCGCAAATATTTGACGACTGAGTCTGTTGCAAAGTAATTCTACGTGGTCGTACCAAGTAAGTAGACTGTCCTAAATATAACATATAATATAATATAATATAATGCAATACCTAAATATTGCATCTTTCCTTCTCGGAACTCCTGATGAATTGGACTAATGTCAAGTAGATGTTGTTGGACTTTTCACGACTTGTTACAAGTTTATTGGTAGTAAACCAGTTAGATGTAGATGTGCAATCGTCACTGTCTAGATGTTCTTTCTGAAGCACTCCAATTTTAATACATTTTATATCGCTCTTCAATAGATTCCATTCCACTATTTGGGAGCGGCTTTCGAAATAAGATTTGATAAGATTTAGTGTAACTCTATGAAAACCATAATATTCCATCTTGTTCAGAAAAATCTCATGGTCTATACAGTCAAACGCTATTGAAAGATCATGGAAGTGTACTAGACAGCTTTTCTCACATTCGAAATGATCGTAAAGCCATTCAATCAGTCTCTGAAGGGTATTTACTGTTGATTTAGCTTTCCTAAACACATTCCCATACTCCTCAGTGAAATATATGTATATTTTTATCAAAAAAGTAACCCAACCCAACTCTTTTTAAGTATTAATATAATTTTGGCAAGTTTTAATGTATCGAGAAACACACCCTTTCTAATTGAGCAGTTTATAATATCAGAAACTGGATCTTTTATGACGTTTATGGTTTCTTTCAAAAAATGGATATTGATTCCGTGCGTTTGCCTTGCAATGATTTCATTATGATTGCTACATCATCTGGATTTGTAGGAAAAAAGAAGAATGAGAGATGTTTTATCGGAATTTTACAAAGATAATCGTCAGGTTGAGTTTGGGTAAATGGCAGAATGCTTATAAGGTCTTTACGAATATTAGTGAAGAACGCGTTAACATTGAATGTCTTTTCCGTCCAGTTTCCGAGTTTACTATATTCCATGTTGTTTTAGTTTTATTTTCCGAGGCAACGATCTTTTCCTTCAACTTTTCTTTTTTGGATTGTTCAATTTGTTTCAAATAAAAATTTTTGCAACATTATATATATTTTTGAAGTCTTCTCATTATTGGTTCTATGATCTTGAATCTAGGTAAGGGTATTTTTTATTTGTGTTAAAATCGGACGGATCGTTCTGAACTGTATTTCAAGTTTGTAAGCCTTGTAAGAGATTTTCTTGTAACTCAGTTTTATGATAAGTCTCACACTAATCTTCTCGGGCTAACAGTAGTTGGAATAGGTTTATTTCTTCTTTACCAATAAATCTCTGTCTACTGACATATTGCTTTTTCTCTTCAATTAAGAAATGAAAGATCTGATATGTGTAGATATGTATATTTGGTCTGGGTTCACTAAAGTGGATGGTTTCAGTCCGTAACTTACATCCGTTTCAAGTAAAATACTTTTCTGATAGCTCTTCTCTAAAATATCAACATTAAAATCACCCACCAGTGTGCGATTTTAGTGTCAGGTTTCCACCATGCATTAATTACTGTCTGAGAAATATAGCAGATTGATAAGATATACTATATGACCCATAGGACACAGGATATCAATGTCGTAATCACTAAGTAACCTTTCAACTGCTGCAGATTTGTTTGCCAACGATTGAATGTTTAAAAACTTTTTTCAACATATCTACAATATTTTCAAATTTGGTAGGTAGATTCGGTGCACTTTTTAGGGCAGTATTTGTACTTTCACCAATGACAGTATACTTTCCATTTCTTCTTTTTATACACTTCGTTTTAGTATTACTCCTTTTCCTGTTTTTTGATTGTTGACATTCATTTGGTGGTACATTTACTTCTTTTGTTACATTTACATTGTCTTTTATAGGGTCGTAGTTTAAATAAACTATTTTATTCAACAATTTTTGTTAAATAAGTTGAGAAGAATACTTTTTTCATATGATCGTTTACCATTTTTGTAGGATTTGAGTTTAAATTTATGTCTCCCTCGTCAGCTGTTTGGTTTAAGTTTTTATTTGACGTAGTTGACCACAGATGGCGCTATAGGTCACACACTTGGAATATTTTGAGAGACCTTGAAAACCTGTTTTTACGGGTTGTTGACTTGTTGGATAAACAGATAATAGATTTGTCGTTAAGTTTTCCAATTTCTCTTTTAGTAGATGAATATTCTTCGTATTTTTTAATTTCTTCAATTAAGCTGTGTTTTACCTTCAATTGTCCCAGTTTTACAATCCCAGAGGTGTTTCATCTTATCCTTCGCTTTATCGTAGCAGCTAGGGTGGAATTTTTATCCAATAATCGGACATTTCATCCCTTGTTGCAATTTTCCTTGTTCAATGTTCGTAACCGCCATAATGGTTCATGATTACCAACCGCTTACCATAAAAAGTCACTATATATTATAACAAATATGTTACATTCTTCTGTGATAACGGCGGTGATGACTTTGTCTGTGATAAAGTAAAATAAAATCCACGAAACCGAAAGTTAAAAAAGAAAGAAAAAAGTATACAATACAAGAAGAGTCAGTAAAAACTCTATAGCTAACCCAACCCAACCCAACCGGCTGTCAAATGTCAAGTAATCAATCAATTTACCTTCCCAGAGGCGTTTCATCTTATCCTTCGGTGTATGCTAGCAGGCAGCAGCTAGGGTGGAATTTGTGCCCAATAATGGGACATTTCACCCCTTGTTGCAATTTTCCTTTCCAATAACCACAAGAGATTGATTTATTTTCACTATTTTCACTCGCGTGCGTATCGCCCGTCATGTTTTTTGATGTTGTTTCACCTGAATGTTTGTTAGATAACCTTTAAAACTACTTTATTCTATCTTTTTGTTACAAAACTGTCACTTTAGCTTTCTTGTTCGTAACCGCCATAATGATTCATGATTACCAACCGCTTACCATAGAAAGTCACTATATATTACAACAAATATGTTATATTCTACTTTGATTACGGCGGTGATGACTTTGTCTGTGATAAAGTAAAATAAAATCCACGAAACAGAAAGTTTTAAAAAGAAAAAAGAAAGTATACAATACAAGAAGAGTCAGTAAAAACTCTATAGCTATATAACCCAACCCAACCCAACCGGCTGTCAAATGTCAATCAATCAATTTGTTGAAAAAGTGAGGTTAAATATAAAAATGATCTATTTGAAGATTAAAAATGAAAAAGATTAAGAAGTCGTGTGATTATTGTTATTATATTTGAAATAAATTAGATAATTTTCAAAATTTTGTAAGCAAATTTTTTTTTTTCTTACCAATTTTTATTTTCTCTTAATCCGATCTTAACCACTTTATAACTACAAAACCACTTTGTCCTTCATCATATTATGCACTTCCCCAATCGATATTTTTTATAATTTATTCACAACTTGAATTGATTAGAAGCAAAAAGCGCAGGAAGGAAAAGTGTATGTTTCGACATTTTAATTTAAATTGTTCATAACATAAATTACTTACCCACACTTTCTACACTTCACTTTTAAATGAAAAACTTTCTTTCGCGAGAAAGAATAAACTTGAACTGATCAATAAAAAATTCAAAAATCGAATAACAATGCCGGTCGTTATCTGCTTAGATTAAGATAGTTGTAAATCTTCGAGGCTTAAACGCTATTAAATGTTATTAAATGAAATAATACTATAGATTAAAATAAAATTTGTTTTAGGTATTTATGTGGCGCTATAAAACCGATTTTATCAGATAAATAAAGAAACTAACCACAAAAATTAAAAACAAACAATTATTTATTACTCATTAATCGACATTCCAACATTCAAAACAGATTAATTTTTGATTAATTACCTATAATTAAAAAAAAATTATAACTTAACCTAATTTTAAAAAAACTAAAACATAAACAACCTTGACAGCTGTCACATAAACACCAAATTCAAAGTAAATCCCATTTTTTTCTTTTAATTATGTGTTAAAAAAGCAGATTAAAAATGTTGGACTGGTTATCGAATTATTCAAGTTTGGAACAAATGGCCATTGCGGCCGTAATCGTATTCCTGACGGTTGTTATTGCCGAAATCGTCGATTATTCACGAATACTAACGTCGTTGGAAAGTGCAAATCCAGCCGCGAAGATACAATACGGATATGATTCGCATAACGGTAATACATATTTATAATTAACGTTAAATAGGTTCTTAAAAATTGTTAAATGAAGGTCCGGTTTGTTGGAAATTAAATTTCCCCGAAAGCAAAGGAAAACAACAATCTCCGATTGATATTTTAACAAAGATCGTTGCTTGTGTGCCGGCTGAAACGCAAAAACCGTTAAAGTTTTCTATGGAGTATTATGGTATCCCGACATCGATGGTTCTTGTAAATGATGGGCATTGCTGTAAGATGATCAAAACAATTTTAAATTTATTTTGGTATAATTCAAGATTCATCATGTGGCTTAAAAAGTGTTTTTTAATCGTATATTCTAGTTTTACACTATCACTAGAACTAACACAAGACCTAGAACTAGAATCATTCGAGTTTAGCCGCACGTCTCTAAAGACGGCTAAACTCGAATGATTCTAGTTCTAGGTCTTGTGTTAGTTCTAGTGACAATGCTAGATAGCGCTAATCAGCGTTAGATATCACTATGTTGCATATTTTTATTGAATTAAAACTAGAATAACATTAGACGTAAAAATATTCGGGTTTAGCCATGCGCCTAAAAATAATTTTGATATTTTTTGAAAGAATTTCGACGCACAGCTAAGAAAAAAACTTTCAGGTGTTAAAGTCAATTTTAATTTTATTATTATATTCGTAATCTTTATAAAATAACCGTTAAAATGAGTCCAAACATGACACACTTATCTCAAAAAACAAAAAAGTTACACTAAAAAAACATTAAACCCGAAGTTAGCAACAATGAAGATAGCAATTTAATTGTTAAATATTAATACCAACCTTAATTTTTGATTTTATTTATTATATTTTTGTTTTTGTGATAAATTTTGAGACATTTTATAAAAATTAAGAATACGTCAAAATGACGTTGACATTTCTAACCGAAACTTGACCATAACTTCATTAATATTGAAGATAAATATGTCGTGTTTGTACTTATTTTAAAGGATTTTTAATGAAGATTACAAATATGTCAAAATTGAGGTTGACATTTTACACCTGAAGTTAGTTATCAA